ATCAGTGGACTTAGCGTTAGTAGGGTTTTGAGCTTGGCAGTGATGATGTTGTGTTGGACATGGTGTGGCATCACGGTAACAATAGTCAGAGAACCTTCTTAACCACACAATATATAAAGGCACAGGTTGGTAGAGCCTAGGAGTCTGTGGTTCAGATCCCCAGAGTTAATGGAAGCTGTAAGTGTGGAAACCAAAATGTGAAATTTGAGTTGAAGAGTGGTGTCAGGGGCAAAGTAGAGTTCTGGAGGCTAGTATATCTGGAAGATTGGAAGAGGTTGTAAAGAATAGGATTAATGATCAGGAAAAACTCTTCTCAAGTAGTAGAAATAACTGATGATAGAAGCAAAAGGAGTTTACATCTGGTCTCTTTTATAAATGTTCCGCGGAGCCTCTGTGTTCCTGGGTATATGTCAGCATTGGAGAATGAATCCTAGCTAGAACTTGAGTTGGAGAACTTTCTACAGATATGCTGCCACTATTTGAGTGGTTTGAGAGGATATAGGAACATGCCTACAGGTAAAGGGGAGTTAATGGCTTGAGAGTCCATTTGGTGGTTGTGTGCAGGGTGAGTAAGAATAAAGAAGTGTATGGAGTAGTCTAGGGAGGACCCTAAGAGGATCATTTAATTTTTAGATGTTGTAGACTTTGATCAAACTTCTCCAAACCAATCCAGCTCTCCTCATTTCCCCATAATGCCTTTATCTCCTTGTTCCCTTCGTCACCCAACTCATTTGTTCCTCTCCCCATTCTCAGCTTGCTCTACGTCCTTGTTAAGAGAGCGTCTTAACTTTCTTTGTCATCATTGTAGCTTTACTTTGTGTCTACTTCACCATCTTTCACAGGTTGGAAAGTCATATTTATAAATAGAAAATTTTGTTCTCGTTATTGTTTTCTAGAGCGTCCATTTCAGCAGTTTCTTCTTAGTGCCCAGGGCAGGGCAAATACAGGTCTGTTTTTTGTTCTGTAGTCCGGAATGGGAAACCAGGCCTGAAACCAGAGACTGTGTGTGTGTGGTTAAAATACCAGCAACACCAACAACAACATATAATATAAAATCTGTACGATTTTACTTGCTATAAAGATCAGCAAAACTTTTTAGTGTACAGGACAATATTGTTAACTATATGCACATTAATGTTCGGGGGAATCTCTAGAACTTCTCCATCTTGCAGAACTGAAACCCTGCACCCACTGAACAACAATTCCCTCTCCTCCCTGCCCCTGGCAACTACCATTCTACTTTCTGCTTCTGTGATTTGACTATTTTAAATACCTTATATAAGTGGAAGCATGCAGTTTTTGTCCTTCTGTGACTGACTGATTTCACTTATTTTGAGGTCCTTGAGGTTCACCCATGTTGTGGCAGGCGACAGATTTCCTTCTTTTTTAAAGTATGTATATATCACATTTCCCTCATCCATTCATCTGTCGATGAACTTTAGATTGTCTCCAGCTCTTGGCTATTGTGAATAATGCTGCAGTGAACATGGGAGTGCTGATATCTCTAGGATTCCAGTTTTCAGGGTTTTTTTGGTAAATACCCAGAAGTGGGATTGCTGAATCATACGGTGTTTCCATTTTTGGTATTTTGAGGAACCTCCATGCTGTTTTCCATAGTGGCTGCACTATTCTACATTCCCACCAACAGTGCACAATGGTTCCAGTTTCTCCGCATCCTTGCCAACACTCATTATTTTCTGTTTTTTGGATAATGGACATCCTAACAGGTGTGAGGTGATAGCTTATTGTGGTTTTGGTTTGCATTTCCCCGATGACTAGTGAGGTTGAGCATCTTTTCATATTCCTGTCAGCCATTTGGAGAAATGTCTATTGAAGTTCTTGCCCATTTTTTTGCCATTGAGTTCTAGGGGTTCCTTACATGTTTTAGACATTAACCCCCTATCCAATATGTTTCTAAAATACTTTCTCCCTTTCTGTAGGTTGCCTTTGCACTCTGTTGATTGTTTCCTTTGCTGCATAGAGACTTTTTAGTTGGATGTAGTCCCACTTGTCGGTTTTTCCTTTTGTTGCCAGTGCTTTTGGTTCCACATCCAAGAAATCATTGCCAAGACTTATGTTTAAGTCTTTAGTACATCTTGAGTTGATTTTTGTGTATGGTTTTAAGATTAGGGTCCAATTTCACTTCTTTACACAGGAGTATCTGGTTTTCCCAGCACCATTTGTTGAAGAAGCTATTCTTTCCCCGTCGTGTTGTCTTGGCACATTTGTTGAAGACCATATATGTGTGGGCTTATTTCTGGGCTGTCAGTTCTTTCCCGTTGGTCTATATGTCTGTCTTTATGCCAATACCATACTGTTTTGATTATTGTAACTTTGTAATGTGGTTTCAAGACAGGAAGTGTGAGGCCTGCTGCTTTGTTCTTTCTCAGTTGTTTTGGTTATTGGAAATCCTTTGTGGTTCCATATGAAATTTTAGAATTTTTTTTCTAATTCTGCAAAAATTACATTGGGATTGCATTGAGTCTGTAGATCACTTTGGGTACATTTGGGACATTTTAATAATAGTCCATGAACACAGGATGTCTTACCATTTATTTGTGTTTTCCTTAATCTCTTTCAGTGGTGTTTTGTAGTTGTCAGTGTAGAAGTCTTTCATCTCCTTGCTCAAGTTTATTTTATTCTTTTTGATGCTATTGTAAATAGGCCTCTTTTCTTAATTTCCTTTTCAGATTGTTTATTTTTAGTGTATAGAAACACAGCTGATTTTTATGTTGATTTTGTATCCTACAACTGTGCTGAATTTATTTGTTCTAACCGTTTTATCATGAAATCTTTAGGGTTTTCTGCCTAGAAGATCATGTCATCAGTGAACAGAGATTCTTTTACTTCTTCCTCTCCCACTTGGATGCCTCTTATTTCTTTTTCCTACCTAATCGGTCTAGCTAGGACCTTAGTACTACATTGAATAGAAGTGGTCAGAAGAAGCATCCTTGCCCAAAAGCATCGACTAGAAATATCTTTCTATAACATGATATTGGGAGGAGTAACTGAGAATGTTTCATTTTACTCCTTTTTAGAAGGTATCTGCTTACTTGATGATGAGCTAGAGAGACAGGAAGGAAGCAAAGACAGTTTTTGGAACCATGTATGGTCACCTTCAAGAAAACACTGACCAATGAGACAGTCCAGAATTGTAATCTGAGTATCAAATTTATTTCATCAAGACAAAAACACCATAAATGTGAGTCAAATGGAAAGAGTTTGCAACCTAATTTACACTTCCTTAATTACAGTAAAAGTTACACTAGCAAAAACCCTTATGAATACAAGGAATGTGGAAGAGCCGTCAAAAACAAGTGGTGTCTCATTAGACATGAAAAAAAGCACACAAGGAAAAAAACCTTTGGGTGCAATGAGTGTGGGAAAGCCTTCCGAAAGAAGTCTTGTCTCATTAGACATGAAAAAAAGCACTCAAGGAAAATAAAAACCTTTGAATGCAATGACTGTGGGAAAGCCGTTAGCAGTAAGAGACACCTTACAGCTCATCAAAAAATTCAGAGTGGAGAGAGACCCTTTGTGTGCAGTGATTGTGGGAAAGCATTTACATGTAAAGCACAACTGGTGGAGAGAAGCCTTACGAATGCGGTCAGTGCGGGAAATCATTCACTTGGCACTCCTCCTCTGCACAACATGTGAAATCTCACACACCCGAGAACTCCTTTGAATGTAAGGAATGTGGGAAAACCTTTAAGTACAGTTCATCCCTTTATAAACACTCCAGAATTCATACAGGAGAGAAACCCTACCGATGCAGAGAGTGTGGCAAAGCCTTTGCAGACTCGTCAGTGCTGGTCATGCGTCAGAGGATTCACACAGGTGAGAAACCCCATGGGTGCACTGGGTGTGGCAAAGCCTTCATCAAGAAGTCACATCTCCTGAAACATTACTTAACTCACAGCAGGGCAACAAAATAAATGTAACACACATGGGAAATCTTTTAACCGGAAGACACATCTCACCCTCCATCAAAGAAGTCATAAAAACAAAGAAGCTTTGTAAGTGTGGGGAAACTTAAAATTTAGCCTTTTAATAAAGCAGCAAAGAATTCATCATGAGAAAAAACCCTATCAGTTGAATTAAGTGTGGGAAAGTGTGTCCTGAAATTCATATTCTGTAAATGATATTACTGATTTTATTGAAAAGATTACAGAAAATTTTGAGCTATAGACAACTTTACAGTAAAGCTAAGAAAGTTGTGGAAAAATGAGTAATTAAGGGACCAGAGCAGTATAATTGCATATATACACTTCCCTCAACTTATGATTTTTTACACAAATTATACAGATGTCTGCATTGCTTAAGAAATTTGTATAACTGTAGGCTGGAAATATGTGCTGTGCACATTATACAAAATTATATATGATGATGGTTGCACAACATTGTGAACATACTTAATGCCAATGAATCGTACTCTTAAAAATGGTTTAAATAGTAAATTTTATGTTATATATATTTTACTATAATAAAAATATGTAAGTAAACTTAAACCCCTTCCAAAATTATATCTATTAAAATCTCTGGTAAACCCCATGGTTTTTAGGCCTCTTCAAGGCCTAAAATCACCATATCCAGAATTGCCAATTATAAGTGAAATAATAGGCCTCATTATTTAGAATAAAGTTCAGTGCTATGAACTTGATCTCTAACCATTTCCTGGCACCTATGAATAGTTGTGGCAGTTGTTAACTGAGATTTCTTGAGCCACCTCTTAGATAATAATCAGGGACAGTTATGAAGTCTACTGGTCTGCTCACCTGAGACTATCTCATAATAGGTTTTCTTTTCTGTGCAAAATGTGTGTGTGTGTGTGTGTGTGTGTGCGTTTAATCCTGGTTGACCAGACAGCAGCTGTGTTTTGTATTACTCCAAGCACTTAGTACAGAGAAGGAGGCATCCTGCAGGTAAACAGCCTTAAGTAAAAGCCATCCCATTTCACTGATGCAGCTCCATGAGTAGAAGTCAGCCTAGCTCAAGCAGCATAGAACTGGGGTTCTTAGTTTAGAAAAATTAGGTGTCATCATGCTTTGTGAGGCTTCTGGGGAAAAAAAATCAATTATTACCTTTTAGTTTTAGAAATTGACTCAGAGATATCTCAGGCTCATTTGGAAATTTCCAGGTGACTAGCATAGGTAGATCAAGCTATTTTGAAAAGCTTTTTTCTGCTTCCTTGAACTGCTTAGCAACTCTTTTATAATTCGACATTATGTAAATTCTGTGGATTCCTTTTAAAGACACGTGAACTAGCGATGAGGTAAGTGAAAATTTTGCATTTCACTCTAAGTGTTGCTTGCTATTATTAAAGAGTCTTTAAGCCCTTTCTTCAGATGTATTTGTGAAACTTATGTACAGCATTGAGCTTGAACCTGTATTCACAAAACCAGGTTTTCTCTTGCAAGCATACATTTTTGGATTAAATGTGTGAACTTGGAATTGTTTTTCCTCATTAGCATTCTTGCAGGGTGATGAAAGACTTACGAATGAAAGTGATTTTCTGAATATCCATCAAATCGAAGGTAAACCGTGTCTTACAGCACTTTCATACTAAGACTATATGCTAATTAAACTTAGGCAATCACCCCAAATCACTTGGCAGACCACAAAAGTATACATGTAAGTTATAAACTCAAGGAGCTTTTTTCAAAGCTGCCTCTTCTCTCACTTCCTTTTAAAGCTGACATTTTGCTTTATTTAACATTTTCTCCTCGTCTCCTGACTTTTTCTCAGCTCCTGGCCTTAGCCGTAATAGCATCTGAGCAAATCTAGACGTTAAGACAGCAAGAAAACACCCTTGAGGCGGGGAAGGGGGAGTGTTTCTTTGCTGCTGGAATGATGTGAGCCTCCTAAAAAGAGAGGCCTTGCACATCAAGGTGGAAAACTGAGAGTAAGAAGGGGCCCAGGAGGTTCATTTGGTATTGTGATCTGAGCTCTTAATTAAACTGTTTGTTCCCTTTCTTATAGAGGAAAATAATTAGCTAACTATGAACCATAATGAACCAAAACTCATTCGTGACCTCCAAAGAAGAAAACTCTAGGTCCAGAGGATTTCACTGATGAATTCTACCAAACACTTAAGGAAGAAATAAGAATTCTTCACAGTTTCTTCTAGAAGATAAAGAGGCAATACTTTGTAGCTCATTTTATAAAGGAAGTAGTAACCTCATGTCAAAGCAAGGCAAGACAGAAGTCACAGTCTTTTGTAACCTAACCACAGAAGTAACACCCCCATCACTGTTGCCATGATCATTTCATTATAAGAAACTGAAAGGGAAATTAATATTGTTAGTATTTCTTATTCTGTTTGTTAGAGGCAAGTTATTATGAAATAATGCAAGAGGAAGGGATTGTCCAAGGCTGTGATTACTTGGGGGCGTGAATATCATGGGAGCCATGTCAGAAGCTTGTAACCGCATACCCTTTTTAGATGACCTAAAATAAAAAATTCTAACAATCTTGGAGTTCACACAGTAGAATGGCCTTGCAAATGTGCTGAGTGGGTTGAAGGTTTTAGCCAGTACAAAAATATTTGCCATCATAAAAGTGTCTATACAGGAGGGAAACCCTATAAATGAAGTAAACATGGTGAGGGTTACTCTAGAGCTGCCAGTCTTAGAGGTCATCGGAGTCCACATGAGAGAGATACCTTACATATGTGGTGAGCGCAGTAAGGGCTTCACCAGACGCTCTGCTCTTCTGCATCATACCCTCCACTCAGGAGAAAAAGCATGTGAGTGTGGGTGTGTGGTAAGAATTTTTCTCAAGAGTGTAGAAAACTCCAATTTGAAAAGATACATGCACCCCACTGTTCATAGCAGCAGTATTTACAATAGCCACGGTGTGGAAACAACCTAAATGTTCATCGACAGATGGCTGGGTAAAGAATGTGTGGTATATATACACAACAGCACGCTGGAATACTACTCAGCTATAAAAAGGATAAAATAATGCCATTGCAGCAACATGGATGGACCTGGAGCTCATCATACTAAGTGAAGTAAGTCACAGAGAGAAAGACAAATATCATATGATACCACTTATATGTAGAAGCAAAAAAGTGATACAAATGAACTTATTTACAAAACAGAAATAGACTCACAGACATAGAAAAATTTATGGTTACCAAAGGAGACTGGATGGGGGAGGGATAAATTAGGAGTTTGGGATTAACATATATAAAATAGATAACAAATGAGGACCTACTATGTAGCACAGGGAACTATATTCAATATCTTATAATAACCTATAATGGAAAAGAACCTGGAAAAGATTAGCTATAGGTGTATATATACATATATATGTACATATATAACTGAATCACTTTGCTGTACACCTGAAGCTAACACAACGATACAAATCAATTATACTTCAATTTAAAAAAAATTTTTTTTCTTGGAGTGCAAAACTTGGCTTTAATGAAACAGCCCACTGAGGAGAGAGACCCTATAAGTGTGATAAGTGCAGTAAGGCTTTAGCGCGTCACAGTCCACATAATAGAAAACTGATAATGAGTGTGATGTGAACTTCAGTCAGAAAGGAAATACCTTAGCAGAATCGACATATAGGAGAAATCCTTTACAGTCGACGTGGTAATAGACTCAAAAATGTGTTACAGACACGCAGCAGAGACACCTATTACAAATGTAACAATCGTGGGGGGTAAAGTTTACCTAGAACCTTAAAACTCATAACAAAATTACACATAAGAAATAAACCATACCAATAGCCTAAATGAAATTTAAATGAAAATATTCGTCAAGTGTTTTAATGTGACAAGATCATATAAAGAGTGACCTTAAGTTTCTGTTTATGAAGAAGCAATAAAAGAAGTTGAAAAGAATTATTTCTATGGGACATCCTGGACTCAATGAGACAAACAAACAACTCATGTAGAGTTGGGTTCATACCATGACCTGTCCAGTGGTGCAAGGCTCTGCCAAGAATGTAAGTGATCATGCAGGTAGTCCTGGGTAATCATGTCCTATGCAGCGTCTAAAATCTTGTCTTGAGACGTGAAACTTTCCACTTTCACATATCTTATGTGAGTGTTCTTGTTTCTCACAGTGTGGTTTGCGGATCACCTGTATCAGGATTAATCAAGGTGAGTACTAGAGTGTAAATAATACTTAGTATTCAGCGCACAGAAACGTCAGTGTGCGTAGTTATCTGGGGGCACTTGTTAACATGCAGATTCCTGGGCCTCGACCGCATCTACTCAGTCTGTGGGTGTGAGGACCAAGGATTTGCATTTGTAAAAGCTCCTTCCGCCTTGTAGATGATGAGTTTGTACGCCAGAGTTGGAGAACTCCTGCCCTATAGGGTATTTGTATAAGGAAAAAAGCAGAACATTGGGTGGCATTTTACTAGTGTGCTGAATCTACTGAATATAGGAATTTTTTTCAGTCGACTGAAGTAAGGAGTAAAATTCAGGAGACTTGAAAATGCACATCAGCTGCCCAAGCAAATGTCAACAGTTCATCCATGATGAGCTGGGTGATGACCACACATGAAAACTAACGGGGACAAGCAGCCACAACTGAGCTTTTAAATGATGTTATTGCTAAAGCTTCAAACAGCATTAAGCATGGTTTGGTGTGAAACATACAACTTGATAAGGGGAATCTGATGTGAATCTATTATATATGAAACATTAAAAAAAGATTGAGAAATTCCTATAGTAGAGTAGGATACTGGTTAAATCATCCTCAGTGCAGCGATGATTGAATTAGAAACATCAGCGTCCATTCAGTCTGTCACTGGAATAATTTGTGCTGTCTCTGGCATCAGCCTGTGTACTGTAAACAGTCATATGGAATGGTATAAACATGCAGTTTGTACCCTCATCTGAGTCTGCGTCAGTGGTTCCCAAATGTGCCTGGGCATCTGAATCCACTGCGGCTTGTTAAAAATAAAGTTATCTTGTGTTCCACCCCGGGAGGTTGAGATTCAGAGAAGGCTTGACTAAGCATCTCAGCTCCAGGTTTGGGAACTGCTGCTTTATACTCCTTTTCTAAATGGAATCTGGGCATCCAGGAGGCTGGCTAATTCAGAGTCTATGTCATGGCAAGTAAGACGGGCCTGGAACACCCTGTTAAAGTACTGATGCTCACTGAGTTGCCTGGGGTCGTGATTAAGGGCAGTAAGAGGACCAGGCAAGAAGAGGGCTTCGCTTATGAGAGGGTAGCTTTGGTAGTGCCAGCTAGCTGGCTCTCTCTCCTGGCCTCTCAATCTCTCTCTGCACCACTTCTGAATATAATTTTTAGCATTTCTCAACATGTGAGATACTATTAACCTTCTAGCTATAAAGTCCTTGATACCACTTCCACACTTGCTCTTAAAATTTCTGAGCTTCACTTACCAATTCAAATTGACTTAAATTCAACTGTGAATTGTTCTCAACAGTCTAATTGGATGGTAAGTGTTCCTGCATTGAAAGCCATTCATTCATTTAAGAAGCATTGAATGCAGATCCTATGAGGTGAGCTAATGGGAAAGGCTGGGATGCTGGTTCCTCCTCCATGTACCCCTCTCCGTAGGCTGGAAATGCCTGACCCCCCACCCCCACCCCGGGAGTTAGCCAAGGTTGGCCAGCACTATGTACTTCACTCAGAGCATTCTGGAATTTCAGTAAGAATTGTTATTTTTGAGGACATCGGTTAGATCACGTAGAGCATGATTCTCTTTATTCACCTTCAGTGAGTAACCGGAACTCAGAGTTCATGGAAGGCTCTCAGCAATAGCAGGTGAAAGTGTGGATGGCCTAGAAATTTAGGGAGACGTCTGTGACTTGAAGCAGTAAGTAATCACTTAAGGTTTTATACCAGGGGTGTAATAAACAAAACTGGATGTTTTAAGTAGAAAATTTGGCAGAGATATGAAGAGTATTTAGAAAGCACGTGACAGCTGTAAATGTGAGTAAGAAATCCAGCATTGCAGTCATGGAGTGATGGAGACTAGGCTCAGGCTACAGTGGGAAGGGAGCATATGGGAGGATCTAAGAGCTAGTTCCTAGAAGAACTGATGCAGGAGAAACAGATGTGGGGTGTGAGAAGGGCTGTGTCCCAGGCTTCAGCTGAGCCCCTGGGATGTGTGTCCTGCCAAGTATGGGTCCTTGGCTTCACACAGGAAAGAATTCAAGAGTGAGTCACAGTTGAGTGAAGGTAGATTTATTCAGAGAGGTAACATTGAAAGACAAGAGAAAGGTCATGAGGTATGGGGTTGGGTGCTCAGATTAAAAGTAAGTACACATTCCATAGACAGAATGTGGGCCATCTCCAAAGAGGAAAAGAGAGGGGCAGTCGCAAGGCATCGTGTTGCCAGTTTTTATGGGCTTAGTGGCTTCATACGCTAAGTGGAAGGACCAGTCTAAATAGCTTGGGGAAGAGGCTGGGATTCCTAGGAAGTTGGCCATTTCCCACTCTTTGACCTTTTGTGGCTAGCCTTGGGACTGCCATGGTGCCTGTGGGCATGTTATTCACTATGCTAATATATTACAACAAGTGTATAATGAAGCTCAAGATCTACTAGAAGTTAAATCTCTCATCATCCTGAGCCTCAAGGCCTACTGGGAGTTGAATCTTTCACCATTTTGATGTTAATTGCTGTAGCATTCCTTGAATGGCTGTGCCCTGTCCCCTTCCTGTCTCAAAACTGTAGGAAACAAGGGGGAAACTGGTGGTAGAAAATATAGTACTCATTCAAGCTGCCACCAGAGTCCCCAGGAGGGAATGTTATGAAGATGGAACAGTCAGATTTATTCCAAGGATTCTGAATAGCACAGAAACAATGGGCCTGGGTTTTGGACTACCAGTCTCACTGATGGGAGGCTACCATTTCCACTCTGGGTGGCTTAAAACTGTACAGAAGTTACTTAATAGCACTGACCACCATCTGTCTTTTCAGTTCAAGTTGTCTGGTACCTACACTCCAATAATTCTTCAACCCCACTGGGGTTTCCCAGGACCTGATGCCCCCTACTTTTCGTGATGCTTCCCTACCCTCCTGCCTCCACTTTCCACCTTTCCATGATTATAGATCTCTGTAAACAGCTACAACCCCCTCCCCTCTCTCTCTCTATCCATCATATTAACCTAGAAAGCCCCCAACCCTTGATAACCCCAACTCTGACCCTGAGCCTGTACTCAAGCAGCTGCTTGCTGCTGAGAAAAGTCACACAACACTGACTGTCTTTGCATTCACCCCAACTAGGGAAGTATGTTGAATAAGCTTCGCTCATGACATCATCCAAGTAATTTTATTTTGGACTCTTACCATGCCTTTAATATTCTCTTATGGAGTCACCTCCATTCCTGGAAGAGACTCTGGCAGACCCGCACTTTTCTTCTCTTAAGAAAGAAAGAGCCATACCATTGCTTCAAGTTCCAAATAGTCTACACTTCTACACAATGATAAGAATGTCCAGACATGGCTTAGTGTTGAGTCCTCTGACCTTCCCCACATGGAACAACTTCATCACTCTGCCCCCTCATGTCTTCCTGCTCATCTCCTCTCCTATTCATTAACACTGTTTAGGACCCACCAGAGTGTAAGGACAGAGGAGGAAGGACAGTAGTATGTGAACTGGTGCTCTTAACACCCGCTTTCAAGCCCTCTGGTGCAAGCCAGCACTCTAGTTGGCTCTGGTAGATGGAGAAAATCAGTGCTCTCATGGGTGCTGTGATGATTACTCAGAAGTCTCCTGTCGCTGACATATCTCTCCCTGATCGGTCAGTGATGCAGAGCAGTGCACCTGTGTTCTAGGTAGCTGCTTGTGATTCCATCCCCAGCACTGCCATCAAGCACCGCTTCTCAGCCTGCGTCGATCAAGGTCGCTCCACCCCTCCACACAGCCCTGTGGACAGGAACTAAGATAACACCATGCCAGCTCCCTCTCTAGCTCTTGGCCCGCCGGAAACATTTGTATCCCCTTGTTATTGCACATTCCAGGAATGAGACCTGTCCCACTGCAGCAAAACGCCCTGACCAATGCAGTCAAACAGCCCTCTGGCCTCCAGACTTCCATGTCCACAGTCTGCTGTAGCTTTTCCCGGCATCCCCAAGCCTCTTTGCTTCCAGCTCAGTTAACAGAACTCAAAGCGGTCCTGTTGGGAGCTCTGAAGCCCCTTCAGTAGACTTGGGTTCCAGGGTAGCATCCTCCCACCTGACCAGAGTGGATGGAGGACTCTCAGCTTGGCGTCAGCAACATTTCTCCAAAGAGATCCCTTTGCTGGTCTCCTCCTCTCACTCTCTGCCCCCTTTCTGAGCATCTTGGTCTGGCTGAGAGTTCAAGGAATTCTAGAAGAGATTCTTAGACCATTTTCTTTGTAAATCCTCAGAGGATGATCTGGCCCCTCCCTCTGGGATTTCATATCTGTTGTATCTTGTTTCACATCTATTTTGTCTTGCTGCCACGTCAAAACTTCATTTTTAACAACTCGTTTCACTTTAAAGAACCACCCAGGAATTCTGTAGTTTCCTAATTAGCGTGCGGCCTGCTTTCCAAAACAACTCAAAAATCAGGGCAGTGATGTCTGAACTTGCAGAACCTGGGTTCAGACCCTCTCTCTGCCCACCTAGTAGCTGGGTAACCTCAGGCAAGTGATTTAACTTCTCTGTGCCCCATTTCCTCATCTGAAAAATGGGCTCCAAATGGTACTTACTTCACAGAATTTTTATGAGGATTAGATGAATTGACACCAACAGGTGCTTAGAACAACCCCTAAAGTCTAGTAAGTACTCAGTAAGCATTATTACCGTCTATTCAGTAAGCATTATTACCGTTTCTTTCTGGAAACCAGCTGCAGCTCACCCCAGTCTCATTTGATGACTTTGCCTCATCTTTTTTTAAAAAGTATTTTATTTATATATTATTATATTACTTAATTATTTTATTTTGGTTGTGGGTGAGTAGGAAATTAGGCTTATTTATTTTTACAGGAGGTACTGGGAGTTGAACCCAGGAGCTCAAGCATGCTAAGCACACACTCTACCACTTGAACTACACCCTCCCCACCCCCCTTATCTTTTATTGAAAGAACGAGGCAACCAGAAAGGGAAGCCCACTGCCTTCTTCCTGCCACCAAATCTACCAGCATGCCTGCTTCTCTACTAATGTTCTTTCTGTCCTCTGCCCCTTAAAATATCCTTGCCAACCCCCTGACCCCAAACTGTGCGCACCCTGTTCACTGTCAAGTACTTCAACTTCCCCCTCCCTCCAGTGTCACTGACCTCCCCGTCTTACAACACTCAGACCTATCTTAAAACAAGAGCGCAAATACCAAACCCTTCCTTGGCAACCTTTGAAGGGTAGAGTGGGAGAGCAGAAGAGAGACTCCACATCTCCCCCGTGGAGTTGTTGAGAGAAAAAAAATACCTGCTAAATGATAACAAGTCCTAAGCACGGCACCTAGCTTGCAGCGAGGGCATACATGTTAGCCATCATTGCTGTCATTATTGCGCTTATTCTTGTAAATTTTCCTTTCAGTGCTTGCTGCTGGAGTGGAATCTACTTAAAAAAAAAAAGATATTTCAGGCAACGATTAGGGATCCAAATTTAAGACAGAATCCACACAACTCCCTGGAAGATAGGAAAGGATCTCTAATAGAGCCTGTTCCCTCTCCATCAATCAGAGGCAACCCTCCTCTACCTGCCAATTGTCAAGTTTAATTATTTCACTCTCTTAATAGTTTTTCATTAATGTTTCTTCATATAAGAGGACCATGTGTTTTAAACATTTCAAAAGCAACTTTGTTGTCCAGTATTTTAATTTTATTTTAATTTTATTTTTAGACTATCAATTGTCCAGACGTTCACGGGCCAGAATGCTGAGCATAGACAAGCCTCTCTTCTCTCTGCCACCTAATGACACAAATGTGACACAGCAGTCACATCTGCAGTGCCCCCAAGAGCAGTTCTTCAGTAATTTTAGAATATAGAAATTTGCTTGCCTCCGCTCCCACCCCCAGCCAAGCCCACCCTCCACCCCACGCCCCACGTCCCACCCTAGTCCAGAGTTTCTGAGAACACTTCTCTTTAGACTTAGAAAAGATAAGCTCTTTGGGAATGGAGCAAAAACAGAGAGTCCTCAGGGAAAGGGTACACACACATATACATACATAAATGCAATTAAAGTACTGCATGTAGTACTGATAAAGCAGAAGTTCTGGTCCCAGGTAGGAGGCTTTGTAATGCTACAGCCTCCCTCTTCTGCCCTGAATCATAGAAATGAAAGAACATATATTTTCATAAATCCACTACCATGCTAGTAACCAGCAAGGGTTTTCTTCAGTGGACCAGAAACTATTAGGAATCCCTGAAAGGCAGAACTAGATTGGCTAACATGACATGGCAGTGACAAAGATGAGCCCACAAGAATCCTAAACATTTGAGGAATTCAAAAAATCATAAAAGAGAGAAGCTCCCAAGAAAATACAGTAAACAGAGCAACAGAATAGGGCTTTAGAAAAATGAGTATCCCCAGAGATGAAAGAGGATACAGCACCATAGACATTAGTCAGCTAGAGAGCTTGGAGATTAAAAACCCAATCTGAAATAAAATACTCACTAGACGAGGCCATACAGCAGCATGGATGCAGTTGAAGATGAGATCAGTGAGCCAAGGAATTCTTTCAAAATATATCCCCAAAACACAAAAATATAAAATGTTTCAAAGAAAAGTTAGGAGACAGGTCCAGAAGTTCCAATATCCATCCAATGGGAGTTTCAGAAGGAGAGAAGATACTGGAGAAGGGAGACCTCTCAAAGCAATTCTCAAAGAGGTTTCCCGGAACTGATGAAACCCTCAACTGGAAAGACCTCACCAAGGACTTAGCAGAATGAACTGAAAAAGGAATATTGTAATGAAATTTCAGAACCCAAGGATTAAGAAAAAAATAATATTAAAAGCACAGAGGAAACAGATTCCCTATCAGTGGAATATACATCAGGTTGACTTTAGACTTCAGATAAAAATCTGCAATACTTGTTGGAAAAATACAGTGAAGCAACAGCTTCAAATTTCTGGGAGAAAATAATGTTGAACCTAAAACTCTAAACTCAAGTAAACTCTCATTCTGGTGTGGGGGCTTGTCCTTTGTGTTCCTGTCCCATTTCCCAATGTGGTCATTTAACAGAAAAAGTACAGAACCAGGTGCCAGGATTCTGAGGCTGTGTGGCCCTGGGCAAGTGTTTTCATCCATCTGGGCATAGTTTCTTCTTCCTGAAAATGGAGGTAACATCCTTGCCTGATGAATTTTAATGAGACAAACAGTGAGAAATGTGTGGGAGCATCTAATGCAATGACTAGAGGGAGACTCTACATTCTCCTTAACCCACCCCCTGTGCTCCAGAGCCTTGTTCCCCTGGTCCTCAGACCCCAGGCTTGGATTTGATCTAAATTATTGCTTGGTGTTTGGGCCAGTACTGGTGTTTCCTTCAGGTTCAGTCCCTTCCCTGGGCAGTATTCAGTGGGCTTTCCCATGTGGGGAGATAAGAGGCTTCTTGCAGGTTCTGATAATGACTAGACAGAGGTAGACGATGCCTCTCAAGGATGGAGAGTGGCCACCTCCACTGCCTCTATCTAGGGTGGGCCCTAAGGACCAGAGGGGCCCTTTCCACACCCTGGAGAGCCCTACACTTTGGTCCACTGTCTGGTTAGCCTGGAATTTTTTTTACAAGCTCCGGATTGGCCTCTGTCCAAATTGTGCCCCTAAATAACTGTTAGGTGACTTTGGACAACCCTCGGATCTTTGTTTCTTAATTTATAAGATGGAGAAATCTGTACTCATGGATCTCAAAGGTATCTTTCAAGTCAAAACCTCATAGAATTTTGGACTCTTCTAATGGAATCTGAGTCATAATGGCATCAAGCAAAGAAAGAATGCAGAACACTGACCCCAGCATTTCTCAGCTGAGAGCCATGCAGAGGAAGCTGCCCTGTCTTCCTGCTCCACCTCCTCTTCATCACACTTCTCCCCTTGCCCCAGCTCAGCTTTCCGCTCCCTCCCTTCCTCCTGTCCTGCCTCTTGTCCCTATGACTTCCCAGTCTCTTGGCCCTGTGCCTACCTCAGTCACCAGTTACTCAGCCCAAACTGGTCCTCTTCCTACCTCATGCCCAGACTGGCTCCCTCCTCTTTCCGGTTCTGCCCCCTGCCACCTCCCTGCCTGGGTCACCTCCAGCCTGGCCTGTCCCTCTGCCCCTCCTACCACCTGCCTTCCTCCCCTCCCTCTCCCTTCCATTCACTGCCCCTTCCGACTTGCTCCCCTCTTCTCCCGCACCCCTCCCTCACCCGTTGTACCTCCTCCTCACCCTGCCTCTCCCCACACCTGCATGGGCCTTGGGCCCAGATAAGCCTCCCCAGCTCCTGCTAGCACATCTGCCCCAACCAGCCCTCACCAGACCTGATTCCCACTCTCCATCATGGGGCCATGTGTTTCTACCAGTGGGGCACCTGGCACATCCCAGAACTCTTGGGAATGAGGTATGCAGCATCCTGGTGACCTGGTGGACATGGGGGACATTGGATGATGACCAGCAGGCATGTAACCTGGAGGGGCACCTCCCTCAGGTAAGAGCCTCTTTCCCAAGATGGGTTCTCAGCTACCCCCATGTCTTGGTTATCTTGTTGCCCGAGTTTAGCATATGTCTTCACTCCCATTCCTTCCATCAAATATAAAGGGGAGCAAAGCTTAGGGAAAATTACAAGTGGACTCTGAATTTCAGTCCCTGTACATCTCAACACTTGAGTCATGGACACTGATACACACACAGACACATGCCGTCCTGCACCAACTCCTAGTGGCCATAACCCTGTACAGAGATCAGCTCCAAGTGCGAGGCAGCCTGAGCCTGATGGTGGTATGGATGGAACGCTCCTGAGACGTTCCGTTTCCCCGTCTTTTTATATAATCTAAAAACCTTGGTTTGGACCTCTCGGTTTCCTTCTGTAACATATTGGTCAGTTGAGGTCCATTGGCCATGGTTCATAACATGCTTTTATCATTGGCCTGTGTGAGACCCCTTTCTTGTTCATTTAGTTACTCACTTTTATGCCCATTTCTCATTTCTCTACTCCCATTGTAGAGAAAAAAACCCTCTGAAAATATTTTGACATGTGGGTGTGTGTATTCTTGCAAAATATGTGGTGTTATGTTGGGAGCTGTATTTTTAATTTTCATACATGATATTATGCACTAGACTTTATTACATTTACTGCCTTTTTCACCCAGCACTATTTTTAAGATCTGTGTGTGTGTGTGTGTGTGTGTGTGTGTGTGATCTCTGCTCCTAACTTCTGCACTGTATCCTGCCGAGTGTCTCCTCCACATTATACTCATCCATTTTCCCCAAGCAGATGGACACCTAGATGGCCTCTAACTCTCCACCATGGTGGACAGTTCCCAAATGGCCATGCTTATACATGCCTGCATTTGGTACCATGTGGGAGTTCACTGGGATAGGTGCCCAGCACTGGGAGCGCTGAGCTGAAGGGTGCTCTAGTCAGTCTTCCATTATTCACATACAAGTGTTCTTGCTGGGTAGAGAAGTCATTCATTCTATATGCATATTCATAAAGCAGC